TGGTCCCATTGCTGGGCCTGCTCTGCTCCTTTATATCCATGGCCCAGAGCTAGCAGCTGCCCTGCCCAAGCAGAACCAGCTAGGCCTCTGGGCTGTGGGAGACTTGAGCTGCCCCGTTCTCTGCACACAGTGTACTATGAGGGGCTTCAGGACAAGCTGGCGCAGATACGTGATGCCCGAGGAGCTCTGAGTGCCCTGCGTGAGGAACACCGGGAGAAGCTGCGCCGGGCAGCTGAGGAGGCTGAGCGCCAACGTCAGATCCAGCTGGCACAGAAGCTGGAGATCATGAGGCAGAAGAAACAGGTGTGGCACCTGACCTGGCACGTGGGCACGGGAGGCCCCGGCTAGGCTGACCGCTACCTCTCTCTTGCTTCAGGAGTACTTGGAGGTGCAGAGGCAGTTGGCTATCCAGCGCCTGCAGGAGCAGGAGAAGGAACGGCAGATGCGCCTGGAGCAACAGAAGCAGACCGTCCAGATGCGCGCCCAGATGCCTGCCTTCCCCTTACCCTATGCCCAGGCATGTGCTGCCCAGCCCGCTTTGCCCCTCATGGGCCAAGGACAACCCCTCTGACTGCTGGCTCTTCTTTGTCTCTAGCTCCAGGCTATGCCCACAGCTGGGGGTGTACTCTACCAGCCCTCAGGCCCAACCAGCTTTCCTGGCACCTTCAGCCCAGCAGGCTCAGTAGAGGGCTCCCCAATGCACGGTGTGTATATGAGCCAGCCAGCTCCAGCCACTGGCCCCTACCCCAGCATGCCTGGCACCACAGCAGGTAACTTTAACAGTTTACAGAAGGTGGGGAGAATAATACAAAGCATTTTCTGAATTCTCTTAAGTGAATATTTTTCTACAGTTGTTTTCTTCCTGTCCACATGGATACACGTGTTCATCTACACACCCAACTCTTTCCTGGTCTCTTCTAGAGTGAGGGGCAGGTGAAGGTCCTTCACCCGCAATGCACTTCCTAAGATCAGGGTGTGCTCACAGACGGGAGACACTGGATCACAGTGGTCATTATCACTCAGTGCCCCAGTGAAGACCTCTGTGCTAATAGAAAACCCGCTTGTCACCGTATCGGTCAGCCTGTCCCATTCTGTTTTGTGCCACACGGTGTTGACTTGAGTGCCTCACGAGTGCTGTCCTGTAGTTGGCACATCGCCTTCAATTTGGTTTTTCTGGTGTTTGTGCTTGCTTAGTCAGAAAGGCATAAGATGGAGCTTTAGCTGGTGGGTGCATAGCGTTGCTTAGTTGCATCACCGCTGTGTGGCTGAGGTGGGCTCAGCAGGCATCTTGTCTGTTCCAATATCAGCAGGTGTCATTTCAGAAAAGACCTTGAGACTGCAAATGCCTTGGTACTCAGACTCCTGCGTCTTCCTAATTTTTGCTTCAGTTTTGTTTGCCTTTCTCGTAGCCATCATTCTTCCTCTACTAGGAGGTACATTTCTCTTCTCTGTCGTTGGCATGCATGTAGGTGTGAACTTCTGAACATTTTGTTCAAAGGGGAACAGTCCTTATTGCTATTGTTTTGGAAACGGTTTCTTGGTGAAGCCCTGGCTGTTCTGGAACTTATTCCATAGACCAGGCTGGCCTCACAGAAATCCTCCTACCTCTGCCTCCCAAGTGCTGGGATTAAAGGTGTGTACTACTGCTGTGCCCGGAAATTTTTTTTAAAGATTTTTACTTTATATGTATGTTTTGCCTATGTGTGTCTGTGTATCATATTTGCTGGTTTGCCAACAGAGGTCAGAAAACGTTTTGGATGCCTTGGAACTGGAGTTTCTGATGATTGTGAGTCAGTGACCATGTGGGTTCTGGGAATCAAATCTGTGGCCTCTGCAAAAGCAAAATCACTGAGCCAGCTCTCCAGCCCCTGAGGTTTTTGTTTGTTTGTTCAATGACTGTTTTATTGTTGTTTGTTTGTTTGTTTGTTTGTTTGAGACAGGATTTCTCTGTCTCTAAGATATTTGCCTTCCTCTGCCTCCCAAGTGCTGGGATTAAAGGTGTGCACTACCACCACCTGCCTGGCTCAGAGCACACTCCTCTTATAGAGAATTCACATTTAGAGCTTAATTCCCATGTCAGGTGGCTCACAATCACCTGTAATTACAGCTCCCAAGTATCCAACTCCTTCTTGTGGCCTCTGAAAGTACCTGTACTCACATGCACATACTCTGGCGAAGACAGGTGTGCATGTAACTAAAGACATAAAACTAGCTGGGCATTGGTGGTGTACGCCCAGCACTTGGGAGGCAGAGGCAGGCGGATCTCTGTGAGTTCAAGGCCAGCCTGGTCTACAGAACGAATTCTAGGACAGCTTCCAAAACAATACAGAGAAACCCTGTCTCGAAAAACCAAAAAAAAAAAAACAAAAACAAAAACACACAGAAGACAGAGGCAGGTGTATATTTTGAGTCCCAGGCCAGCTAGTGATACATAGTGAGACCCTATCTCGGAAAGTAAACAAACAAGCCGGGCGTTGGTGACGCACGCCTTTAATCCCAGCATTAATCTCTATGAGTTTGAGACCAGCCTGCTCTACAAGAGCTAGTTCCAGGACGGCCTCCAAAGCCATAGAGAAACCCTGTCTCGAAAAAAAAAAAAAAGAAAATAAACAAGCAGCCGGGTGGTGATGACACACTCCTTTAAGCCTAGCACTCGGGAGGTAGAGGCAGAGGCAGGAGGGTCTCTGAGTTCAAGGCCAGCCTGGTGTACAGACAAGTTCCAGGACAGCTAGGACACAGGGAAGCCTTATTTGGAAACACCAAAATGAACAAGCAGAGTGTGCTCTTGTATCCACTGCACGATCTCTCTGTCCGTGTCTGTTGCCTCTAATGCTCGCATTATCGTTGGCAGGACCCATGTGAGTCTGCCAGCCACTTGTATAACATTGATCGACCTGTCACCTTTGACCAGGTCAGCTTGGTGCTCTGCTTGGCTTGTCCATTCCTTGGGTTTCTGGGATCCTGCTTCCTCTTTTGAGGGAAACAGCCATTAGAAGCAAAGTCTCAGGGTGTGTATAGTAGTGAGCGGTTAAATCCAACACTTGAGAGGTTGAGGCAGGAAGACCCCCAAGTTTAAGACCTGTGTTCCAAACAGCGGTTTAGGATTGGGTTCTTAGGATGCGTTTATAGTTTCTAGATCACAGAGACCTTGTAGCGTGTGGTGTGCAGACTAAGTTCACTCTAGCTCTTCTCATCCTGACAGCTTGGGGTACCCTTCAATGCCCCTGTGGGAGAGTAGCCTGGGCTACTGTAGGAGAGGGTGTTGTCTTTGTTCCAGTTGTCTGGATTGTGAAACTCCAAGTTATGGGCTTCAAAAATCTGTGTCCACTCTCCCTAGCCCCTCATCTTCCCCGTGACCAGCCCTTGTTTCAATGCAGTTTGGAGGGTGGGAGGGTAGCTCCTGTAGAGCACCTGCCTAGAGCATGTTCAAGACTCTCCGTTTGCTGGGCGTTGATGGCGCATCATGCTTTTAATCCCAGCACTCGGGAGGTGGAGGCAGGCGGAGGCAGGAATTTGAGACCAGCCTGTTCCAGGACAGCCTCCAAAACAATACAGAGAAACCCTGTCTCGAAAAACCAAAAAAAAAAAAAAAAAAAAAAAAAAGACTCTCCGTTCAGCCCCTAGTACTACAAAACCAAAAATAATTAGGTCCTTTTTTTTTTTTTCTGCTTTCATTTTCTTTTAGGACCTATCTTCCCCCTTGTTGGCTTTACTGCCCTTTTATAAGAATGTGAAACATGTCCTTGGTTCTGAGATCACATCAAAAGGAGAACCCAGGAAAGGGCATTCTCCTCTGACTCTGTCATTCCAGAACTGAACCAGTTCATCTTTCTTGTTCACAGACCCCAGCATGGTCAGCGCCTACATGTACCCAACAGGTGCCCCTGCGGCACAGGCAGCCCCACAGGCCCAGGCGGGGCCCACCACCAGCCCTGCCTACTCCTCCTACCAGCCCACTCCAACCCCAGGCTACCAGGTGTGTGGCGAGGTCATCCCCTCTCATCTGCTTCCTGCCCCTGCCTGTCCCTCACATCACCTCCTTCCTTACATAGGCTGTGGCTTCTCAGGCCCCGCAGAGCCTCCCAGCCATCTCCCAGCCTCCCCAGACCAGCACCATAGGCTACATGGGGAGCCAGCCGATGTCCATGGGCTACCAGCCGTACAACATGCAGGTAAGGAGACCCCGTCTCTGCTGGGCATGAGGGGGGAACGCACAGCATGGGTCCTCCCCTCTTGGGCTCTCACCCAAGCCAGAAGGGTCTGTGTCTCTCCGGTCACAGGCTGCTCAGTGTCGGCCTCCATCCTCCTCTCCACAGAGTCTCATGAGCACCCTTCCTGGCCAGGATGCATCTCTGCCAGCCCAGCAGGCCTACATGGCCGGGCAGCAGCCGGTGTACCAGCAGGTGAGCCACCTTCGGGCCCCTTCCCCAGCCCCTGAGCTCCCCGATGTCCTTGGATCGCCTGCACTAGTTACACCCAGAGGCTTTTTTCAGCCCCCAGAATGAGGACTGCAAGTCAGTGCAAACACATGCATCCATATGCATGCCTGGGAGGCGACAGATTTCCCGGAGCCTCATGAGTGCATTGGCACTGTGGGTAACAACGGGAAGCCTGCACTGTGCTAGGATAAAGCTTGTTATGAACAAAAGCTCTTGTGTGTGAAAAGAAGGGTGATGAGGCCTATCTGCTCTCCCTCTCCAGATGCCACCCTCCACTGGCCCTCCCCAGCAGCAGCCCCCTGTGGCCCAGCCACCGCCTACACAAGGACCGCCAGCACCAGGCAGTGAAGCCCAGCTCATCTCATTCGACTGACCTTGAGTCTGGCACTCTCCATCCAGAGTAACACTACGGTTCACCAGAAACCACTTACGTGTCTAACTAGCCATTTCCTCCCCTGTAGTGTCCCTTCTCGTGCGAGCAAGGGGTGGCCCTTCACCCCTGACCCTTTTCCCTGTCCTCGGTGGTCTGGCTCCTGTCACTGGTTCCCTGCTTTGATCCTGATGCAGTCTTACTTTCCCCAGGGCTGGGACTCTGCAGGGCAAGTAGGACCTTCTCTGAGGGGCGTCCAGCTCTGTGTTGGGGCGATGCTTAGCCTGTCCCAGAGAGCCTGATGGCCTTGGCACAGCACGGGAGGAGGCTTCAGGCACCTCTAGCTTCCCTGCTCCTCAGCTGTCATCTCTCCAGTGCAGAACAGTGATAATAAAGTGTATTTCAAACCTGTCGCAGTGTCTGTTGGCGCAGCAGGTTCAGTTTTGGACCAGAATGTGAGGGTACTTTTCATTGCCAATAGTTTGGGAGGTGCTGGTTGAGAAGCCTTGGGATGGTCTGGTGGGGACGCGGTATTGACTCACACGGCACAGGATCTCACCCGGCAGTTGTAAAAAGGCGGCGCAAAAGTGGACTTTTACTGTCATAATCGGCCCAAACCACTGCTTAAGGTTTCAGGTCTCGACATCACACCCTGGAAAATACATTTCCACCTGACTTCTGGCTGGGGCATCCAAGCTAGTTTCCCTCCAGGCTAAGTTTAAGCACCTGCCTTGGTGCACTCAAACCTTGGGAGACCAGGCATTCGCCTAGAAAAGAGCTCTCCACATTGGCAGAAGGGTTCCAGGCTTCTAGAACAATGGACTGGGCCCTTGGGTTAGGTTTAGGGCTCTGGACTCCGTACATAGCTAACCTCTTGGACGACTGAACCGTGCGTAGGGGGCGCCCGTGTATTCCGCGGGCGAGACAAAAGAGAAGCCTCACCGAGTCTTCAGAGAAACCGCCACCCCAGAACTACTTCCGGGCCCACGCTGCGCCTGCGCGTCCCGCCGCCTAGTGCGTCATATCAGGCGCCGACCCAGGCTCGAGCAGTGGTCCTCGGCTCCGATTCCTGGAGGCCTCACGGCTAGAGCGGCCCGCGCAGCTCGTCTGCTCCCGGCTAGAGCGTCGCTTCCGCGTAGAGCCGCGTGTGACCTTCCCGCCTGCGGAGCTATGCAGCCGGCGGCGGCGGCGGCGGCGGCGGCGAGCCGCCTATGGGGGCCGCGGCTTGGGCTGCGGGGGGCAGCGCTCCGCCTAGCCAGGTACATGGGGGTGTCTAGAGCGCGGTTGCCGGGGCGGCGGGCTGGAGCAGGTCCCGAGGGAACGGGTGGCGGGCGCATGGTCACCTTCCGCGGCCCTGCTGGTGGGGCGTGGAGAGGACGGCTCGGCCCGGGCGACCTTGGGCGAAGGTACCTTTCGGTCCCTGAGACCCACCGCCGTGGACCGCAGCGTGCTCCCCGAAGCCGGAACTTTGGAACCCTTGGAGCCGTAGTATGCACCCGCTCGGCCGATGTGTTTCATCCGAGCAAACTCCTGCTCTTTCGGGCAGAGTTGCCGGCGTTGTCGTACAGTAGGGGTCCTGAGACTCTGGGAAACGTAGCGAAGCTGGTGTAGGCCCCTCAGTAGCCGCAGCCAGTGAATTCTGGCCCCGGTGGTGGCGGACTGAGCACATGGGCCGTTTGTGCACCCCCGGGGGGGGTCTCTTCGTCTCTCCTTTGTCGGATCTAATGCCTGTCTGCTTGGGGGGTGCTAGGCAACAGGTCCCCGGTGTCTGTGTGGCGCGTCAGTTGAGGAGCAGCAGCCAGCAAAGGAGTGAAGCAATCGCCGGTGCCCCTCTGGATAATGCCCCCAAGGAATACCCCCCCAAGATCCAGCAGCTGGTCCAAGACATTGCCAGCCTTACGCTCCTGGAGATTTCAGACCTCAACGAACTCCTGAAGGTATTGGGAGAGATCGACACAGCCCAGGACTAAGTTCCCGTCTTATGTTTGTATTTTAGGAGTTTGGTAATTTGCCAAACCAGGGTCAGAGGTCCCCACCTCTTCTGGATGTGTTTTTGGGAGTTTGGTAAATTGTCAGATTTGCCTTCCTAGATGCCAGGACCAACGAGGCTTGCGCCTCCATTAGTGAGTACATTCAGGGTTGAACAGCCAACCCCTGAAACTTCTTTCATCCTACAGAAAACATTGAAGATCCAGGATGTCGGCCTTATGCCAATGGGTGGCATGATGCCTGGAGCTGTCCCTGCTGCAGCAGCAGCCCCTGAGGTAAGCCTAAGCAACAGGAATAGCCATTCTGTGTGCCTGGTTAGCTGCTGACCTCAACATGTGGCAGGTTTCTCTAGATCCTGTCTGGGTCTCGCTAGTGTGTCACCCTTGTGGGCTCCCCCGTAACACCCCAGGAAACTCCCCAGTGCCAAAGGCATGCAAGGTCTTGTGTTACTTATTGTATGTATGTATGTATGTATGTGAGTATACATGTTACAGCACGTGGGGAGAGGCCAAAGGGGACAACTGTCAGGAGTTCTCTCCTTCCACAGTGGGTTCTGAGGATCAAACTCATGTCCACAAGCTTCCCCTTCACTTTGGAGCCTGTCCTGGAACTCGCTCTGTAGACCAGGCTGGCCTGCGAACTCAACGACAGAGATCGCGCTTGCCTCTGCCTCCCAGGTGTTGGGATCAAAGGCGTGCGCCACCACCGCCTGGCTCACGAGCTTCCTCTTCTACACCCTGAGCTACGCTGGTGGGAAGACCCTATTTGATAAAGAAGGAAACGGGGTTCTGAAGAGATGAAGAGTTACAATACTACTGAGGAAAGGCGGGGAGGTGCAGGATGTGGTGCCAGGGTGCCTGCCTCCCCTGCCAGGCCTGCTTTGGGTTGGCAGACCAATGGGGGTGAGGGCTAGAGTTTCAAGGAAACCTCCACAAGGTGACGATACTGAATGAAACTTGAAAGCGTTGAGGGAGAGAAAGCAAAACTTTCCCCACAGATCTAGCTGATCAAAGGGGCTCTGAGCGGCATTTAACATCTGAGCAGGGGCTGGGCGCTCCATCATACACACACACACACAATCCCAGTGTTCATATTTGTGTGTGTGTGTCACATGTATGTGGGTTTCTAATGAGACCAGAAGAAGGTGTTAGATCCCTTCAAGCTGGAGTTAAAGGCCGTTGTGACCACCCTGTCTTGAAAAACAACAAAAAACCAAGCGCGTCTTTTAATCTCAGCACTTGGCAGACAGAAGCAGGCAGGTCTCCGGGAGTTTTGAGGACAGCCTAGTCTACAAAGGGAACTCCAGGACAGCCAGGGCTGTTAATACAGCCCTGTCTCAAAAAAAAAAAAAGTTCTCTTTATTGACACAGGTTTTGTTGTCCGAGGACTGAGATATTCTTGATTCTTCCATAACTTTTTATTATCTGCAAAGCATTTGTTATCCTCTCTGCCGTATAAGTACAATTGCTTGTTACTTGTGCATGTTTGCATGTGTTCCTGTGGGGGTCACCTGTTCAGGCACCGCTAACCTTATTTTAAGACATGGTCTCAGTTGGCCTGGTGTAATGAGGCTTTTTTTTTCTGTTCTGTCAGTCAGCTCCCAAATACCGACACAGAATCTTATTATTCATGGAAGCTTGGCCTTAGCTTGTTCCTAACTAGTTCATTTATATTAATCTACATTTTGCCCCCTGGCTTATCCTGCACGTTTCCTCGTCTCCCGCGCACCTGGATTCCTCCTTTTCCTCTCCCCAGAAATCCCGCCCATAGGTCCTGCCTAGCTGCTGCCCAATTGGCTTTTTATTACACCAATCACAGCAATATATCTTCACACAGTGTGCAGATACCCCACAACAGCCTGGAACTTGCTGGAAAAAGCTAGACTGGTTATCCAGTAGGCCCTCTGGATTCTACCTTGTCAGTGCTCGGGTCACAGTCACACAAGCTGCTGAGCTGGGCCTCTAGGGAGCAATCTGCTCAACCCTGTAAATCACAGTTTTAAAGAGAGGTAGAATGAGCCAGGCGGTGACACACACCCTTAATCCCGGCACTCCAGAGGCCGAGGCAGGTGGCTCTCTTGAGTTTGAGGTCAACCTGGTCTCCAGAGTGAGTTCCGGGACAGCCAGGGCAACACTGATTACTGGTCATGAGAAGCGTGGAGAGGGATGGGGAGGTAGAAGCAGAGCTGGGTGACAGCGGGGTCTGATCCGAGGGTCCACCTGCCTGGTGCAGCTCTGTAGAGGGCAGACTGCGGGGTCTGTGTGGGTCTTACCTGCAGGTCCTGGTGGGCAGCCCTGCCTCATCTGTCCTCACCTCGTCTCTCTGCTTCCACACCCTAAGGTGGCTGAGGGAGAAGACATGCCCAAACAGAAAGAGCGGACACACTTCACCGTCCGCCTCACAGAAGCGAAGCCCGTGGACAAAGTAAAGCTGATCAAGGAGATCAAGAACTACGTCCAGGGCATAAACCTTGTGCAGGTGGGGCCCGGTCCCGAGCGCCTCCCCTTGTTGGGGCTGAAAGTTCTCAGCACTGGGCCTTTCCCGGTTGGGCTTCCCTATGACAACCCAAAGCACTCCAAGTTCTTTACTGCTGTCTCTTTTAGGCCAAGAAGCTAGTGGAGTCCCTGCCCCAGGAAATCAGGGCGAATGTCGCCAAAGCCGAGGCCGAAAAGATCAAGGCAGCCTTGGAAGCAGTGGGTGGCACTGTAGTTCTGGAGTGACACTCCCAATCTGAGGACTTTCGGACTGGGGTCCCTGGGACCTGGGCAAAGGCCTGCTCACCCCTGCTTCACTCCCAGGTGGTGTGTTGGGAGCGGCAGCTACTGACGCCGGTGATCGAATTCTCCTGGGAGAGGGACAGGATGGACCTACTGTGATGGGGAGGGGCAGTTACAGCCTGTTCGGACTCTCAAGAGGTTGCCTTGAGATGTTATAAAGTGAACACGCCCCTGGTGGCTACTGAGAGAGTACACTGCAGAGGTTTGGTGTGTGTGTGTCTGGGGCTGGTGGTATCAGGGGTCACCTTGAGTGAGGCCTGTGTGTCCTGGACCTTCCCCAGGCTCTCTGCCCCTGCCACTCTGAGGGTCTACAGCCATCTATCGATTCCCATTGTGCAGGGGGAGGGGTGATCTGAGATTTAGATGGGGTGTTTCCACTTAGATACTTTTGAGTTTGAAGTGTGATGATACCGGCCCAACCTACGGAGACAGTCTTGGGCCCAGCATCACCTCAGTTGGGGTAGATGGGGGCTGAGCTGATGCCCAAGGCAAGGGGGTTGGTTGTACATGCGGAGAAAACACCACTTAACCGGCTGGGGCACGATGGCAGAAGGGGGTTGTGCTGGCAGGCCTTGGGAGACCCTGACTAACCGTGGGATGGGTCACCCCACATGGGAGCTGTAGAGAGCTATTTTTGTTCCTAGACTTCTCAGCAGAGCCTGAGAGAGGAGCAGAAGTTTCTTTACCTGGTCTTTAACCAGAACCCAAATCGTCAGTGGTGTTTGAGCAGATCTTATTCCTCCTATTGGAAAAACTTGTGGTTTCTCAGAGAGGCCAGAAGAGGGCAGTGTGATCTGCAGTGTTGCTTTGTGAGATCTGGCAGCCCCACCCAGCTGTGGGCCAGTCCACTTTACACAGCTAGGAAACTGCAACTTCTGTGACTGAACTCCTGGCCTCTGCCATGAGGCTTGCTGATGGCCACGCCGTGCTGGTTAATGATTCCGCAGCAGCGTTTCAGGGCTGTCTGCTCACAGGTGGCTACCAGGAAGCCTAGGTATGAGCTGCCAGATCCTGCTAACGCCTGGACAGATAGGGAGTGAGCTTAAGAACCCCAGGTTGGGCCTGCCCTGTGGCCTGGAATGTTCACCTCTGCTCGGGTATCATCCCAGCCAGGGCCGGAGTCTAATCAGTGGGCAGAGTGACCTTGGGCTCTGGCCATCGGGTTAACCTGGTTCCTGTGATCCTGGATGTGCTTAGAAATCTGAGGCAGCTGGAAGGTGGGTAATGTAAAGCTCTTGACCGTAAGCCAAGTCCCCTCAAAAAAGCACTGCAAGAAAAAAATAAAAAACTTGGACCCTAACATGACAGACTACACACCTTCCCGAGTCAGGCCCCTTGATGTTTCTGGCTACCCCAGCCTTTCTCCACCTGTCCCAGATCTCATGTGGAGTCTAGATAACTGCATGTGTGTACTGAGGGGGTGCCTTCCCAACATTTTGAGGCCGACGGGAGCTGCACAGTTAAGAACCTGTCTCAAAGATAAAAACTTTAGTTCTTCTTAGGTCCTGGCCTATGTTTCTCTGTGGGGCTTGTCCTTGTAAGCTTTCTCCCATGGATCAGGGTCCTCCAGTCAGTAAGTTTCCAGCACTCTCAGAAGGGTAGACTGCATACATACACACATCTGTAGTCTGGTCATCTCCATTCTGATAAAGTGATGACACTTCTCTTGGGTTTGCCCCAAGTGAGACTAGACAGCTGTTGGCATTCCGTTTGTTTTTAAGTTTTTGTGAAGATTAGAGGCCCCCATCTGTACCCTAACCCTAGGTCCTGTAGCTCATGGTTCTCCTGTGGCTTTGAAGGTGTCTCCAGCGTTTTATATACAAAAGCAATGTCAAGCACCAGCCAGGCTTCCTCTGGCTTATGACCTCTTTGCTGCTGTGCCTGGAAGTTTCATCCTAGTACCTCAGTTTCCTGGCAGGACTGGTTTGTATGAAGGCCAAGGGCTGCTTCAGGCGTCACAGTCAGCCCAGAGTGCTGACACAGGGTTATCAGATATTGGCACCCGGAGACCTGCCTAGCCCAGAGGTGTGGGCTCGTTGCCCACACCGTTGCAGGAGAGGAGTAGTGAGAAGTACCCTTAACCCCCTTGCGATAGGCTTCATGCCCAAGTGTAGTCTGCCTCTGGGCATGGGGGGGTATGCCAGGACATCCTGCATCCTGTTGCCATGATACCATTATATTGAGCATCTCATCAATTTGCTCTACCTCCCTGGCTACTGCTAAGTTTGGACGCTAGGTGGCAGGACTGAATACAGCAGGGTCACATGGGCCTGGAGCAATTTACAGGTAGATCTTAACCTTTCTCCTTTGCATTGGGTAGAGATGAAGCCAGAGGTGCAGGACACAGGTCTTTTAGTTCATGTGGCCAGACTCCAAGCAGCCTTGGGATTTGGGATTCACCTTGCCTAGCAGGCGCACCCTTGGGCTAGGAGCACATAAGGATTTCTTTGCCCGTCGTTGGGAAGTGGAGATGCACTTCTGAGACCAGACGGGTTGGGGCTGCCTGCTAGGAGCCTGGGCCAATAACCAAGCATGAGGAATTCACAGCTCAGAACCCGCCTCCGTGGTGGCTGCCTAGGACTGTGTCCACAGCAAGGCTTGAGCTGAGTTGCACTTGGCAGGGACTCGATGGGTGTGTGGGCATGGGGGAGGGTCAAGCTACCCTTTAATAAGAGCCTTTTGTCCCTGCTTTCTATTTAATTTGCAGGCTGGCCCCAAGAAGGTTTCCATCCCCCTCTACATCTGGGCGGGGGATGGGGGACAGAGGTCCACTGCTGCAGCACGTGTCCTTCGCCTGGGTAACACACGAGTCAGCACCAGGGTGCAAGTTCAGGCTCGGACTAGGGGGCTGGTAAGGAAATCAGCCTCCTGATGAATGGAGCGTGGCAGTGCACCTTCTGATCTGCAACCCAAGCCATAATCTACAGATGGAAGTGGCCATGGGCTAGCTTCAAGGGTTTCACAATTATATACGTTGAACCCCTTACCTCGGCTCCTTGCTGAGATCGCTTTAAGAGGGAGGGCGGAGTCTCCCAAGGCCGGAGTCCTGCCGAGGGCGGAGTCCATCAGGACCCGCCCCTTCGGCCGCGCGGGCGCATTGGTTGCACCAGGCGCGGGCAGTCGGTGGCACTTTGAACCGGGTGTCAGGAGGCTGGAACCGGAGTTGTGGTGCTCATCCCGGCCGGGCCAGGTCGCTGCTGCTCTGGCCATGGCCGAAGCGCGCACATCTCGCTGGTACTTTGGGGGCCTGGCTTCCTGCGGAGCCGCCTGCTGCACGCACCCGCTAGACCTGCTCAAGGTGAGGCTGAGTTTCAAGGCCGAGCACACGCGTGAGCCCAAGGTGCTGGGGACAGTCCCGGCCGGGCCTGGCGCCTGCGAGACGCCTGCTGCGGCCGCCGCTGGACTGCGCACCCGGTAATTACCGCCGGCGACGCCCACGCCGGCCTGAGCCCCGGCCGCCCTGCTCTGCGCTGTCGGGCTTGGGCCTGCGGGCGCCACTGCGCTTACTCCCCAGGAGGCAGCGGTGGAAAATCCCCGGGAACCCTCCGCAGATGGTTTTCTCAGGAGCCAGCGGGCCCTCAGAGGAGACACAGCATCGCCGCTCCTCGGCTCACCAGCTGGTTTCCCCCCCACCCCCGGATCTCTAACAGTCCCGCCTTAGCCCCGCGCTTTAATACCTGTGTGAGCCCTCCCACTCTGAGCCAATCCTCGGCCGCAAACATTCGACAGCTCTGGCTAAAAGTTGAGGGTGGAGTTGCAAGGGGCACAGGTGTTGAAACTTAAAGACCAGCCTGGTGCCAGCATTCATTCCAGAGCTCTCCTGCCTGCCTACCTGCCTGCCGGGTTCTTAGCGCCACCTACTGTGGGGGGGCGAAAGTGAGGGCAATGGGCTACGTGGTGGTGTGGCCTCGGTCATCTGCTTTGTGCTACTTCCGCTCGGATGGTGGCTGCTATGATCGGCACACCCCCAGGTGAGCCAGGAGACCCTGCATCCCCTGGGCTCTGCCGGATGACGCTGCCCGTTTCAGTACTAGAAACAAAGGAGACTGTTGGGCGGTGGTGGCGCGCGCCTTTAATCCCAGCACTCGACCAGTCTCTGAGTTCCAGGCCAGCCTGGTCTACAGAGCAAGTTCCAGGATGGTCCAGGGCTACACAGAGAAACCCTGTCTCGAAAGACACACACACACACCCCCCAAGGGGGATGGGTGAGTTTATGGGGTTTTTGTTTTTTTTTTTCTTTAAAAACAAATGTTTATAGGAAAATTAAGACAGTACTCTTCCTGTTCCCCAGGGCCGCAGAAGTCCCAGGGGAATTTTTTCCTGATTCTGTCTAACCACCGAGAAAAAAGACGCTGACCTCTCTACCCAGGGGGCTCTGACTGCTCCTACAGGGTGACCTGTGGACAGAGCACTTACGCTGACTGCCGCTTCCCCCAAACCCCACACTGGATTGGTCCCTGAGGTTTGAGCTGGTGATCTAGTCTCAAATAGTTCCTACCGCTAGAGACTTAAGGCACCATGTTTCCCAAGAAAGGCAGTAGTTTTACCTTTTTTTTTTGTCTTTATTTGTAGCCCAGGCTTACCTTGAACTTGTTATGCAGCTAAAGCTGGCTTTGGATTACTGTTCCTCCTGCCTCTGCCTTCCGAGTGCAAGGACTTCAGGCAAGCATTATCACTCCAAGTTAGCATTTCTAATCAGTGAGAATGCTGGCCACTGGGTACAAGGGAGGACTGGAACCTCACTTGTCATGGGAGTGGCACACACGGGTCCAGGCCCTGGGCATGGAGTAATAGCAAGGAGGCTGTAAGGAGGGGCTCCTTGAGGGGATTTCCTTTTACTGGATGCTCTTGTACCTGCAGACTCCTCCATTATTTGGGCTAGATGGCTAAACTAGGCATGGGCCCTGGCGGCCTCACAACCACCCCACTGGCAACCAGCCCTCTTGAGTGTTGACCAACTGTGACATAAAAGTCCCAGGCGGTTGTTTATTGTCCCTCTGGGCTTCACTGCTTCTCAGCCCCACCCCCTGCTCAGATGGCCGAAGGGTGCCTAGAGGGTCAAGAAGGGTTGCCATGGAAGCAGGGACACCCTTGTTGGACCCACGCCAGTAGGCAGTGCCCAGCCTCGGAGAGGCAGTGGCCAGGCTATTCCAACAAGGACTGCTCACAGAGACCATTTGAGAACTTGTGTGGACAGAATCTTGCTGTGCCTCAGGCTGGCCCCGGACTCATGATCCTCCCGCCTCCGTCACCTGAGTATTTAGGGTCATGTGCCCGAGTTGCTATGCTGGCTTTAAAGACTTTTTATGAAGTTCCTTGGTGTGGCGCCTGCGCCAATCTGATGCATCGGGTGGAAGCCTGGAGACTTAAATGAAAGACAAGACATCCGGTCGTTTATGTTGAGAGAATGTACCTGCCTGCGTGTGTCTTTATTGAAAGGAGGGAGCAGCCTTACATACAGACTTACAGCACAGCGGAGAAACCCCAGGTGTAAGAGCTTGTGTTTTCATAATTAGAGGGGCAATTATGATGCCAGTGGGGCAAGGCCGGGGCTATAAGCCAGGGCTAGACAACAGGATGCACCTGTGGTTGTTGGCTGACAAGCAACTCACAGAGACCCCGTGGGGGCTGGGGCCTAACACCTTGGTGTCCACCTGGCCCTGGCTTGGCCCTCTCAAGCACAGGGCCAGTTGCCGTCAGAGCCACGGCTCCCTGGATAAGCTTAAACCCTCTGTCCTTTTTTTGCATGAGTGTGACCATGCTTGTGAGGCCACATTTGGCTGTGGAAAGGCTTCTTTAGGGGTGAGTACAAGGACCCACACAAAATTTCTCAGGACCAGGGCTCCTGAACCCGAATGTAGGCCACCAGCAGGAGAGTGGGAGTAAGGCCCTGAGTATAGTAACTGTCGCTACTATAAAATAAAAGAGGCAGCAATTACAGGCCTGGGACCAGCCTTAGGCCCTTTGAAGCCTCTCTATTGCCTCTGCCTTAGTTTCCTCCGCGCCTCTAGGCATGTGTGCGGACAGGGTTCCCAGTGCACAGCTGGTGGATCTGGGAAGGACTGATGGTTGCAATTGTGTCCACAGAGCTTGTATGGCGGCCCAGGCATCAGTCTTCATTGCAACCCTGTTTCTACCGACTTGTGGCCAGGTGGCCCAGGCAACGGTCCTCATTGCAACCTTGTTTCTACCGACTTGTGGCCAGGTCAGAGCTCTGCTCTGCGTGGAGGTGACATGCTCTCCCCGCCTATGCACAGGTGCATCTCCAGACCCAACAGGAGGTGAAGCTGCGCATGACTGGCATGGCGCTGCAGGTGGTGAGAACCGACGGCTTCCTGGCACTCTACAATGGCCTGAGTGCCTCGCTGTGTAGGCAGGTGTGTACACAGGTCTTGGCTCACTGCCAGGGCTCATGACCCACAAAGTTCTTTTTCTCCCATTACCATCGGCTTCCCAGTTCTTGGCACCAGCTTCTCGGGTCCTGGTTCTGGGGTTCAGTCTTATGAAGGAGCCTTAGGGAGTCCCAGCTACTTTCCCTTCCCCCTTCAGATTTGCTATAGAAGAGACACAGGGTTGGTATGGGGTGGGGATCTGCTTCCCACTTCCAGGTGGGGAAACTGAGACTAGGGACGAGCCCTCTGGGTCCCTGTACTGGCTTTACTGCTTGCAAGCTCAGTGGCCTTAGAAAGGCCACTCAGTGTCCCAGGGCCCATGGGACAATGACTGGGCTGGGTAGAGTGCCCAGTCCTCTGAGCCAGGCACCCTCCTCAGATGACCTACTCCCTGACTCGGTTCGCTATCTACGAGACCATGCGGGACTACATGACCAAGGACAGCCAGGGACCTCTCCCCTTCTACAACAAGGTGTTGCTGGGCGGCATCAGTGGTGAGCACTGGGTAGTCAGGGCAAGGGCTGGGCAAAGGCCCAGGACATGGGGAACCATCACATATTGACCCTGGCATTTGTGTCACCGAAGGTTTAACCGGAGGCTTCGTGGGGACCCCAGCAGATTTGGTCAATGTCAGGTTTGTTTGTGCCGCTCATCCCCCTGGGCCAGGGGCTCTATTGTTCCCAAGCAGGCAAGCCCTTGCTCAGGTGACTCCTGAACGTGTTACACCCAGCCTGGGGCAATTCACTTAAGACTCAAGCCTGGGTTAATGGAGGAGCCGAGTCCTACCCTGAAGTGGGTGGGCAGTCCTGCACTGCTGACCCCTGACCTGGGGGCTAATGTATGTCCGGTGGTCCGCCCATCCTTGCCTGTCCTACCGTTGTTTCAGGATGCAGAATGACATGAAACTGCCCCTGAGCCAGCGACGCAAGTGAGTAGATGGGCTTTGTCCCAGTGGGGGGGTGACGGTAGGGGCCAGAGGACCAGCCAGGGAGGAAAACCCTGCACAGCTCTGCTGTGATTTAACCAGGGTTCCCGGTATTGCTCACGAGTCATATGGAATAGGGAGCGGGTGGCTTTAGAGTAGATTCCAGGCATGACTACCCTGGGGTCACTGGGGGGGGGGGGGTGTCCCTGGGTCCCCTGAGACCTTTAGGTTCTCTCTTGTGGGAAGACTCTCGCTATGCTGAAGGCCAGTCCCCACACACCTGCCTTCTGGAACCTGCGGACACCACGACTGTCGTATCAGACTGGGCTTCTTTGTAGCTGGGGGTATCTAAAGGCAGGGGTCTACGAGAGCTAGTTCCAGGACAGTCTCCAAAGTCACAGAGAAGCCCTGTCTCAAGAATCCAAATAAAAGCCGGGCGTTGGTGGCACACGCCTTTAATCCCAGCACTCGGGAGGCAGAAGCAGGCGGATCTCTGTGAGTTCGAGACCAGCCTGGACTACCAAGCGAGTTCCAGGACAGCCTCCAAAGCCACAGAGAAACCCTGTCTCGAAAAACCAAAAAAAAAAAAAAAAAGAATCCAAAGAAAAAAGCCCTGGGGCCCTCAGTGGGGACATGGCTTTTCTGGCGTCTGAGGCGCACACCCTGTGGAACAAGTGGGAGTGGTCAAACTCATTGACTTGTCTTTGCCGCCGACAGCTACTCTCACGCCCTGGATGGTCTGTACCGTGTGGCCCGTGAAGGTGAGGCAGGCGAGGGGGGACTTTGCATTACTGTAGATATGTGTGAGCTTGAATATGAGCTGGTGGGCTTCGGCCCGAGGAAGCTGGCAGGATGGGTAATGAATGGGTGGGTGGCCTGAGGTCTGGCTGTTGATGTCACCTGTCACTTCCTCCTGCAGAAGGCCTGAGGAAGCTCTTCTCAGGGGCAACCATGGCATCCAGCCGCGGCGCCCTGGTCACTGTGGGTCAGGTAGGTAGGGTTCCTGTGCGGAATGGGGCTTTTGTGGACAGTGTCTCTCACCTCTGCCCTCAGAGATCACAGAACGTAGCAGTGGGCACTGAGAACCTTGGGGGGGGGCAGGGAGGTACCTGCTATCCTGGAGAGGGGTGGGCACAGGTGGGTTCAGCTGCAGCCTGCGTCTGACCCCCACCTGCATGTCTGGGTGTGGTGGTTAGGTGACAGCCGAGTGCTTGCTCACTGCCAAATGTCACTGTGGACCCAGGCGACTCTCCCTGGATCTGGGAGTTCTTTGGCCATGACTGTCCCGTTCCTACCTGCAGCTCTCCTGCTACGACCAGGCCAAGCAGCTGGTCCTCAGCACTGGGTACCTGTCTGACAACATCTTCACTCACTTTGTCTCCAGTTTCATCGCAGTGAGTTATCCGGTGTGGCAGGGGGAGGGGAGGGAGGAGGGGGGGAGGAGAGGGAGGAGGGTGGCTGGGGTGAGCCAGGCCTCTCTGAGGCCATATTTGGAAATCGAGTTCACAACGTTAGCCCAGGCCAGGATAATGCCTGTGTCACCTCTCCTGGGGACCCAGGTCTTGTACCCTGCGGGTGAGCATGCAGGGAGGGTTTGAGAGTGCCCTGAAGGTGGCCCATTGGTGACAAGTTCCCTCCCCCCAGGGAGGATGTGCCACGTTTCTGTGCCAGCCCTTGGATGTACTAAAGACCCGCTTGATGAACTCTAAGGGCGAGTATCAGGTAAGGACCGGGCTGCAGGCTCCAGGGCTGCCTGGGGTTCCTGCCAACTACGGCCATACCCTGGGGCCGGGGCCCCCTCATCTCCAGCCCTGTGATCTTGGAGATGTGTATGCCTCCCCGCTGGGGCATGGGGGCCCAGAGACAAGGCTGCCGTCCCCTGCTCCCTTCTGGTTGCTCAACACTGGGGAGCCTCAGGGTGGGGCTGTACTTTTCCAAGGCCTTGGTTTTGCTTTAGACCAACAGAGTTCTCCCACCAGCTAACAGAGGAGCCTTTTCCCACTTGTCAGTAGAACCTGGCCCTAGTGCCTTGAGAGCCCATCTGATAGGCTCTCTGAGCAGCCTGTCGGATTGGCCCCGTGTTGTGTGGCCCATCGATGTCACAGCCTGAGCTGTTTTCTTTTTTTTTTTTTTTTTTTTTTTTTTTAAGATTTTATTTATTATGTATACACCACTTCATGTATGCCTGCAGGCCAGAAGAGGCCACCAGATCTCATTATAGATGGTTGTGAGCCACCATGTGGTTGCTGGGAATTGAACTCAGGACCTCTGGAAGAGCAGCCAGTGCTCTTAACCTCTGAGCCATCTCTCCAGCCCGCCTGAGCTGTTTTCATTTCGGCTCCTGCCCTGTTCTTGGGAGCAGACAGAGAGCCACCATGCCCTCCTGTGCCCGGAGGGTTCATCCGTGCATCCGAGTCTCCTCCGTTTCTCCTAGGGTGTTCTCCACTGTGCAATGGAGACCGCAAAGCTCGGACCACAGGCCTTTTACAAGGTTTGCCGGGGCAGTGGGGGGGGGGGGGATGAGCAGTGGGAGAGCCCCCGGGGGGGCCAGGTGGGTCTCTCTCCCGACCTGACGCCTCCAACTCTGATGTCGTAACCCAGGGCCTCTTTCCCGCGGGCATCCGTCTCATCCCCCACACCGTGCTCACCTTCATGTTCCTGGAACAGCTCCGGAAGCACTTTGGCATCAGGGTGCCAACCTGACCCCACCAGGGACACCTGGGCCGTGCTCGGTCACTGCGCTGAGATCCCTGGAAGAGTGGGAGGGGAGTGGACTCCCCGTTCTTGGCTGGGCCCGAGCTCTACCCCCAGCAGGCTTTTCTGTTCCTCCCACCCTTGGGCTGGCTAGGCCTCCTTACCCTGCCTAGGCCAGGGGTTACTTCAGTGGCCTTTGTCCCTTCCTTAGGCTCACTGGGCTGGAACCTCTGCCCTACTTGCTCCCGGGCTTTTGCCCTGTCTCTCCTACCCCATGATTCACTCAGGAGAAGAGGTCTGGCTCAGACTGGTAGTGCTGTCTCCCGCCTCCCTGGCTTCTGTGCCGCCCTGCCTGTCAAGCAGGAGGAAGCTGACCACTTCCCGCTCGCTCCCGGCTGGCCCTCCATACACCCAGCAGCTTCCACCCCGCACCCTAGATAAGTGTGGTGGGGGTGTGGACCGTGGGCAGCTTCTGCTTACCCGACAACCGGAGCACGAAGCACTTTTGTCATGAGAGGTACCATCGTGTTCTGCCCTTGGAGGTGCTGCCTTCAGGGGAGGGAGCAGGCAGTGTGAGCCGCCACCAGCACATTCCATGACAGTTGGAGTCCAGAGAAAGTGCCTGAGGTTCCCCTGGGCACTTGTCACACGCAGCCTTGGCTGCTCTAATGGTCAGTTGTGCCGAACCCTTCGCTCGGCGGCCGCAAGAAACCGGCCGTGTCCCTTGCACATGTGTGGCCCTCCCTTGCCTGACGTCCCTGGGGACGGGAGGGGGGGATTGGGGGGGGACATGCTGGCAGAGCTAGAGCCATGATGGCTTGTATGTGCCCTACAGGGACTTGTCAGCCTGTTATATGGCAGTGCTCACCCCTCTCCATTCCCCCAGGCACTTTCTAATCGGCCTGGTTTCCCCCAGACAGGGTGCATCAACACGAGGTTGGGCTTGGTGCCCATCCCCCCCCCCACAGTCCCCTCGGCATTGGTCCTCACCCAAGAAGTGGCAGCGGACCCGGGGGGCACTGCCTGCACCCCTCTTGAGGATCTAATAAACTAAGTGGTCTAGGGGACCTGCATGTCTTCCCTGCACACGCCTCACCCCCAAGGTGCTGTTCTTGGAGCGCTCGCTCTCTTGCGGTTTCGGACAAGGCAGTCACCGAGTCAGGGCCACCTTCCAGGGGGTAGAGCCTAGGGGAAGAGGTCAGTAGGAAGGGAGAAAGCACGCAGTTGGTGGCTGGCCAGCGAGCCCAGGAGAACTAAGGACGCCGTGGGGTCTGTAGTGAATGCAAACAGTGAGAAGCCCAGGCTGACACTTGCACTATCTTAGGCTGGGGCTAAGAGAATTCCAGATCTATAAGCAGGGGCAGGATGTCAGCTAGAGGTCCCAAAGCCACTCTCAATAAAGCTGGTGCTTGCATCAGAAGAAGCCCAGTGTACTCATCTCAACTTGAGGAGCCCAGGGTACTGCAGTAGCATGGGTATAAACGCCTAAGTGGGCATCCCTGAGACACCACACTTGCCGAAGCTGCAGGTGTGACTTGTTACATGTGAAAAGGGTAATGTGAGCCGGGAACATAATGATGCATGATATTCTTGAGAACCCAGAATACTGGATAGCGGGACTGTGAGGGTTTTAGTTTTACCACGGCTGGAGGCCAGACCCTGGACTTTCTACTAAGTAAGCCCAGGTGCCAGCCACACCTATGTACTTCCAACAGGAGGGTCTGCAGCCCCGGCTGGTTTCCAATGTCTTATCTATCTTCCCAATTACTAAGATGACATGTGTGTGGACAAGTTCAGTTTAAGTTGGTGGCGCACGCCTTTAATCCCAGCACTTGGGAGGCAGAGGCAGGCAGATCTCTGTGAGTTCGAGGCCAGCCTGGTCTACATAGCAAGCTCCAGGCTCCAAAGCAATACAGAGAAATCCTGTCTTGAAATTCCTCCCCCCAAAAAAAAAAGATTTGTGGAGAGATGGCTCAGTGGTTAAGAGCTCTTGGCTACTCTTCCAGAGGTGCTGAGTTCAATTCCCGGCAAACACATGAGTGACTCACAACAGTCTGTAAAAAGATCTGGTGCCCTTTCCATCATGCAGGGGTACATGTAGACAGAACACTGTATGCATAATAAATCCTAAAAAAAAATAGTTTGTGGACCGGAGAGATGGCTCAGAGTTTAAGAGCATTGATTGCTCTTCCAGAGGCCCTGAGTTCAATTCCCAGCACCCACATGGTGGCTCACAACTGTCTAACTCCAGCTCTAGGGGACCTGAGACCTTCACAGAGACATACATGCAGGGCAAAACACCAATGCGCATAACAATTAAATACATTTTTTTCTAAACTAAATTTCTGCAGGGCGTGGGTGGCAGATCTCCGGGTCTAGACAGCAAGTTCCAGGCTAAACAAGACTGCATTGTGAGAGACCTTGTCTTGTAAAAAAAAAGTTTATGCTGTATGTGGTGGCTCATGCCTGTGGTCCTGACTTGGGGAGGGGTGGGGTTGGGTGGGGCTTCTAAGTGGTACTATAAGGTCCAACCCTAAAGCCAGTGGAGAAAACTAGATTAGGGTCCCACCCGTTGGCCACAAAACCACTAGTACAGCGTCATGGGTAGGCATCCTACTTTGGAGTGTGGCTGGTGTGAGGTGTGAGTCACAGATGGATAAGACGCTCCTGCGGTTCCCCACAAGGGCTGCTCCTCCAGACCCCAGCCAAGAACTTGCCTGAACTAGAGACAATTGATGGCTTAAGCTCTTTTCAGATTCGGGGCCCAGAATAGGTCTTATCCACGAGACCGGCCCTCTGGAGAAAGCAAATACACACCTAACCACCTCCCTCATAGTCAGCCCTACCCAGCAAAGCCTCCCCGGAGGCCAGAAAGTGCCCAGTCTGGTTTGATGGGGTTAGACCTGGCATCAGGCCCTGCAGGGCAGGGTGCTTGAAGCCAATCGCCTTGTAGGTCTAGTTGAGACACTGTCTCCAAAAGGTGGGAGAGGAAGTCACACAGGACTCTGACCTCTAATCGTGGACACGCGGGCAAGTTGCAACCTCATGCGTGCAAAAGCTCTTCAATAAATAGTGCCACGAAGGTTGCCCGCGTATTCAGGGATGACGCTGGGTGCTTGCTTACCTCACACTACACGCTTATCAGCAGGTCATAGACCCACAGGCAAGACGTGAGACACAGGGCTGGTTATTAAGAGGCCCTGTGACGGGCTGGAGAGATGGCTCAGGTTAAGAGCACAGACTGCTCTTCCAGAGGTCCTGAGTTCAATTCCCAGCAACCACATGGTGGCTCACAACCATCCATAATGAGATCTGGTGCCCTCTTCTGGCGTGCAGACATACATGGAGGCAGGATGTTGTATTCATAATAAATAAATCTTTAAAAAAAAAAAAGAGGCCCTGTGACAAGCCGGGCGTTGGTGGCACATGCCTTTAATCCCAGCACTTGGGAGGCAGAGGCAGGCGGATCTCTGTTGAGTTCGAGGCCATCCTGGTCTACAAAGTGAGTTCCAGGACAGCCTCCAAAGCTACAGAGAAACCCTGTCTTGAAAAAAAAAAAAAACACTCGAAAAAACCAAAAAAAAAAAAAAAAAAGGCCCTGTGACGACTCAGTTCCAGGGGATGATGACACCCTCTGGCCTTGGGCAAATACACACACCAAAGGTGAAAGACATCAGATGTAAACAGCACCAATGGAAATAAGTGAAAAGTTGCCCCAGGCAGCACAGCTTGGGCCTGCCCCAATATGCTTTGTCTTTGATAGAGACTCAAAAGAAAGAGAGTGCATTCCGCTGGGGAGGCAGGAGTCTGCCCCGTGTGCCATGGTCACTCTTGCTTCTGATTAGTCTGGGCTTGGAAGTGGAAACGACAGTTAGTGATTGACCGGAGTGTTTGCTGTTGGGGTGTGTGGCTTCTTGGCTGAGAATGAAGAGCAGTGTTTGTCTCTGTTTCTCTGTCTCGTCCTCATTTGCTCTCCCTGCTCGCTCCTGGTGCTGGGGATGGAACCTACGGCCTTATGCATGGTAAACTCAAATCTACCCCCTAAACTGTACTCCAGCCCTCTTTCATTTTAAGATTTATTTGTTGCTTTTGTTTTTTTTGTTTGTTTGTTTGTTTTTGGGTTTTTTTTTTTTTTTTTTTGGTTTTTCCAGACAAGGTTTCTCTGTGGCTTTGGAGGCTGTCCTGGCACTCGCTCTCTTGTAGACCAGGCTGGCCTCAAACTCACAGAGATCTGCCTACCTCTGCTTCCTGAGTGCTGGGATTACAGGCATGGGCCACTATCACACGGCTTGACCTTTTTAACTTAAAAAAAAAAACTAAATTAAAGCTGGGTGGTGGCGCATTCCTTTAATCCCAGCACTTGAGAGTCAGAGGCCAGCCCGGTCAACAAAGCAAGTTCCAGAACGGCCATCCAGAGCTGCAACTCAGAAAAACCCTGCCTCGAGGAGGAGAAAAAAAAGTCTCCCCTGACCTCCAGGCAGAGTTCAAGTACCGCCAGAGCTGTTACGCAGAGAAAACACTGTCTCAAAAAACAAAAACAAGATACTTCCCACCTCTGCATCGATGGCCGCTATTGCTGACTTAGAGGAAGACTCCGGGACTGCAGGCTCGGAGGGGGGGGCGCGACAAGATGCCCTCCCCCAAGAAGGGTATCGAGGTAGCCATGGGAGCTGGGATACCGGAGCCATCTGTAGGGCCCAGGGGACGGATGCCTGCCTCAGATGTCAAGCTAAAAACCAACAAGAGGGCTGTGTTGTGGTCCGGGGGAGAAGGTGGTCATTCCTTTCACATCTGGTGCATGTCTCTGTGGGTGAAACAACCATCACTGCCCGCTCTGCCAGCAGGGCTGGGTGGTCCGAAGAATCTGCAAATGAGAGGTGGCAGAGTGGCTCTCCTGGTGTGGTTGTGCCCTGGATGATCTTGCTGCCAAGTTACCGACAAAGGCTGGAACACTCCAGCGGAGTAAGTCTTCAGATAGAGGAGGGTTGCAGTCTTTTGAGACTCATCCAGGGCCATGGTTTAGCATTTTGCCAGTTTAATTTTGAGAAGCTGTCCACAAGAAAGATAATTTATTAAAAATGGCCTTTCCTTGCCGGGCATTGGTGGCTCACGCCTTTAATCCCAGCACTCAGGAGGCAGAGGCAGGCGGATCTCTGTGAGTTTGAGAACAGCCTGGTCTACAATAGCTAGTTCCAGGACAGTCTCCAAAGCCACAGAGAAACCCTGCCTCGAAAAACCAAAAAAAAAAAAAAAAATGGCCTTTCCTTAAAAAAATAATAAAAATTAAGTGAGTCACACGCCACCTGGGAATCACTGCTCTTCGTGTGGTATCTGGTGGGTCTTGGAGAAGAATCTGTGTCCGAGGACATCTGATCTGCTCCTGCCCTTTGAGTCAAGTTTACGTGGGGTTTTAGACAGATGTCAACACAAAGGGTCTGGGGGTTCAATCACACGGGTGTCAGGAGAGCTACCCTCTTTAGTTAATTCCGGGAGAATGTGGGGCTAACAGGGTCTCCAGCTCCTGAAGCTCCCGTCTTCCTGGAATTGTTTATAGATAAAGATTTTACTATTAGCCGGACGGTGGTGGCGCACGCCTTTAGTCCCAGCACTCGGGAAGCATAGGCAGGCGGGAGACCAGCCTGGTCTACAGAGCAAGTTCCAGGACAGCCTCCAAAACAATACAGAGAAACCCTGTCTCGAAACCTCCCCCACCAAAAAAAAAAAAAAAAAAGATTTTACTATTGTTTCAGTGTCCTGTTTTGTTTTTGACAGCAGGTCCTGTTATGTATGTAACCCAGGCTAGCCTCAAAACTCCATCAAGCCTTTCTTTTCAACCTTCCAAGCTCTGAGAATCCAGGCATTTTCTCAATCAAGGTTCCCTCTTCGCAGATTACTCAAGCCTGTTTCACGTTCACATTAAATTAGCCAGTACAGGTCTGGAGAGATCGATCAGCAGTTAAGAGCACAGACTGTTCTTTCAGACGACCCAGGGTTCAATTCCTAGTACCCACACAGCAGCTCACAACTGTCTGTAACTCCAACTCCAGGGGATCTGACACCCTCACATAGACACAGCATTTTCCTCT